CCTCCACCATCTGGGTATCTCCTCACCAACCTTTCTAATGAAATAGACAAGGCAAGTATTATTGGTCTCCAATTTACAAATGAGTAGCTGAGGCTCAGTGAGGTTGAATGACTTTACCTTGAGCAACAGCAAAACAGAAAATCAAACATGCCTAGTGTCTTCAAATTGGGTTTTCTTCTGCTTCACTGGTGAGCACTGGGACACAACTCACACTAATGTGGTGTTTTGAGCTGAAAGAATTTCTTATCTTGCAGTGTGTATCACACTTAAGATGAAGGGATGAGTTGTATACTCACAGAACCAGGGCTCCTGCTGGCTATAGTAGGCAGGACAACAGGTAAGGCTGTAGGAGCAGGAGGCGGTACTGAAATTTCACCAGTTGGGTCTCTGGCAACAAGCATCCTGACTGAACTCCCACAGTTCCTGAGAACTTGCGCAACCTGCTCACTGGTCATCCCCTGCACATTTGTGCTTCCGATCTTCAAGATGTGGTCTCCTGTCTGGAGTCTTCCATCCTTCAAACCAAGAAAAAGACAAAATCATTTCAAGAAATAAATGATCTAACTTCACTAGTTAATAACATTTCATCAGACTGTCAGTTCTGACAAAATGGCTGATAAAGAAGCCACCTAAAATGCTGAACAAAATATAACAGTTTAATAATTGGCTGAGTTGGCAAAATAGTAGAGGAATTCCGTGTAGAAGACAAAAGACAGAAAGGTTCAAAATGAGAAAAGTAATCAGTATTCTAAAACAGGCCTTTGCTTGAGGATAGCAAGTCATGCCTAATGGTCTAGAGCCAGGATACTAATGGCCATGCATTCAGTGAAGAGGTCAGAAAGCCCTGGACCTCAAGAAGGGAAAGAGGTCAGAACAGAGCCCTCTAGCATAAAATTAGGAGCTCCAAAGGCCAATAAGCTCAGTGGCATGTTTGAGGAACAGTGTGGCTAGAAGAGAATGAGGAAAGAGGAGAGTAGTCAAAGAAATGAGAGAGTCAACGAGGTCAGATAGTATAAGGTATTTTCTTTGCATGATTTGGAAGGGAAGTCATTGAAAAGGGTTTTGAACAGAGAAGTGACATTATCTGACTTACTTTTAACAAGATCATTCAAGCTTCTGTGCTTAAAATAGACTACAGACCAGGAAACAACAGAAGCAGAGATATCAGTTGGGAGGCCTTAGCAATAATCCAGAAAAAGATAACAATAGTTCAGACTAGGTTAGCAGTTGGGGTGTTGAGAAGTGATATTCTGGATGTATTTTTAGTGAACTATCAGCAGAATCTGCTGATAGCTTCTACATGGGGTATGAGGTGGGAGAAAAAGAATCAAAACTCCAGGTTGTTAGCCTGAGCAATTGGAAAGATAGAGTTGCCATGAACTGAGATCAGGAAGACTACAAGGAAAAGATGGGTGAGGTGGAATCAGTTCTGTTTTACAGATGTTCAGTCTGAGATGCCTATTAGACATTCAAGTGGAGACAAGTGTACAGCTGGATATATAATATAAATCTGGAGCTCGGGGAGAAGTCCAGGCTATACAGTTAAATATGGGAATCATTATTAGCACGTAGGAGGTATTTTAAAGTCATGATTCTGGATGAGTTTAAAGAAAAGATATGTAATGTCCTATTTCTTAAGCTGGGTAGTGTGTACGTCAGTAATTATTGTTATAATTATTATTAAAGTGTGCACAGACATTATATACATTCTTTTGCAGGCATGTATGTTTCATAGACAGAAAAGTTCAAAATATACTTTAACAAAAT